CCCTTCCAACTCCTGATATTCTGTGATTCATTGTGTATCATAAAGATGAAGATTCTATAAAGCTGGATTACTGGTATTAAAGTTACATTCTGAATTTTTTGCACTTTATGATTTGAATTATTATTTTTTCTGTGGTGTCAAATAACAGTTTTGAAAGCTTGTCCATGCTTTGCTGCTGTGTGGGCCACCTGCCCAGCCTTTGCAGAACAGGAGGCTTAGTGCAAGAAAATATAATAACTGGCTTAAAAAGATATCATTTGTATAACTGGAGACAGCCAGCACAGTTAGCAACTAATAATCTTACTTGCTACATGAATTTTTTTTTGCATTTACATAGCTTCTGAGGTTTCTTTAGTTTCTCCCTTAGCTTGCTAAAGCATGTTGATATTTGTTCCATTTTCTCCTTTCTCTCCTTTTGTGTGGTTCTCATTAAAAGTTCCTCCTCCTCCTCCTCTCATTACTGCTCTCGCCTGCTACGTGGGTGTTTCAGTATTTGCAATTATTTTTCCTCCTTGATCTTTAATATTGCTAGAGATGGGTCTTCACTGTCTTTACTTCTTAAATCCTTTGCCTCTTATTTGGACTAACTTCGATTTTCTGTTTTCTCCCTGTTCCTGAAATACACTGTATTTTTGCATGTTGAAAAATACAGCGGCTGTGGCTCACAGTTGTGGTTGCCACTAAGAAAATTGTTGCTTTAATTTAAGATCAAAAGTCCTAATTTTGAAAGACAACTTTAAAGCAACATAAAATAATTTGTCAGTGTTGTAACAGAGATAAATTCAATCCTCGTACTCAGGCAAAACAGTTTGGAAGTTACTTTTTAAATTAAAGTTCTTACTACGATAAAATACATTGCTTTGATTTTATGTCTGTACTTTTATGGTCTCGCCTGTTAATTGTGTAAATCTTTTTTTCCCAACTTCAGAAAATGGAAAATCCTGATGAACTGGCAGAACTGATAAATATGAACCTTGCTCAGCTTTGCTCCCTGCTGATGGCTCTCTGGGGACAGTTTCTGGAGGTCATCACCTTGCAAGAGGAGGTCACAGCACTGCTGGCACAGGAGCACCACACATTAAGGGCAAGTTTTGGCACCTTTATACACATTGTTACAGAAATGGGTATCAAAATGAGACACTGTGTTTTCTAGTTTTACTTGGAATCATAGAGGGAGCTGTTGCATTGCATTTGTTAGCTTGCCTATCACGTTGTTAGGATTTCTCCTTGGTACATAATACATAAAATACGTTCTTTATGTTTAGGACCCAACTAATTCATTGATCTTTTAAATAAGAAATGCAGTTGAGAAGGCAAATGGCAGTGTGTCGAGTGAGATGTGTTTGTGTGGAATGGTGTCTTTTTCTGCAGGAGCCATGCTTAGAGCCCACCCAGCATTTTCCTGTTTACATCCTAGAACAACCTGTGCTTTCCTTCTGAATTAAGGTTTGATAACATTCATGAGCTTTGAAAAGGCTCTTAAGTGGAATTTTAGAAAAAGAAGAGATGTTTTTGTGAGGTGTGATCATTTTGCTGCCTATCTATGGATCTTATTTACCTTTCTGTGCTTGCTTTATAAATTAACCTTCAGGTTAACTGGTGGAAGGTATGAAACGAGAACACTGTTTGACTTAATCTGCACTTACATTCAACTACTGATATGTTGGTATATTTAATATATTTGATAAAAACAAAAGAAGTATTAATATTTAACTTTTACTGATCCAGTGTTTCATATATATATATATATTTACTGCTAATGAAATGTGCATAGCTTCTTAATTGTGGTTCTTTTTAAAATCTCTGATTCTAGCTCTCAAATACTTTAAGAATTGGATTTTACTGTGATTATTCTAGGAAATATAAATCAAACTAGTTAACTACACTGTGTGAATTATGCATATTAGCAGTATTTATGTGATACTTCCCAGTTTTCATGAAATTCGAATTCGAGTTCCTTTCCTGCCTTTTTTTTGCCTACACCTGCATTTTTTCCCTTTCCAGTTGCAGTTAAGGCCACTTTTTTTACACATAAAAAACTTGTTTCAAGCACCACATCGTAGTTAATTTTTGCTTGTTTAAATAAGAAGAAAAGCAAATAATTGTTTAAGAAAAGCTGTAGTAATACTCTTTTTCTGGAGGTATGAAGCCACACTTGCAGCACAGTGATGTGGATAAAGGATCTTCCGTAGTGCTCAGTGTAACTTGCTGGTGCAGGACACCGAGTCTCTAAAACTTCAGGGTTTTCTGAGTTGACCTCAGAGGTGACTTTTGTTATAGCTGAAAAAGCTGAGCTTATTTTATTTTCTAAAGAAGCAGCTAATTGCAATTTCTTACTGAGTTCTGCAGTTACTGGATACTGCGTTATCTACCAGACATCAGGGACTGCAGAAGAGATGCAGGGCATGGGTAATCTTAAACTTACCTTTTCATTTAGAGCCTGATAGCGAGGAGCTGACTCTAAAATGTGAATAATACAGCATCAAGAAGGAAATTCTACCTGAGCCAACTCGCAGAGACCCACCAACGTGGTGTTACCTAATTTGACAATGTACGCGTTTTACAAAATATGATTTGCGCTTCATTTGCAAATGTGACACTTATTTTCCATACTCCAAGATGTGAAGAGCTTGTGTGAATACTTTGCAAGTATATGTAATTAAAATATGTGTAAAAAGCCTTAGCTTCACTGGGCTTCCTGCGTGGCAGTAGAGCAGGAGCCAGCAATCCATAAAGTGAATAAACCTTTATGTTAAAAAGAAATGAGAAATTCGAGCCTTGCCAATTTTAAGAGGATATTTGGTTGTTGATTGTGGTTTCTGTTGTGCAGTGCTTAGTAAAATAATTTGTGACTTATATTAATAATATATTGAGAATTTCTGTTCTTGGGGTTCAGATAAACTTCCTTGGGGAAACCTGTCAAATGATGCAGACTGTCTAGTTAGTGAATTTAGTACAGAGATTTGTGAGGTGTTTTCCTGATTCTCCTCTTGAGACAATATCTGTCCTTTCTGGAATAGCATTTTGGGATCATACAAAATTCTGTCCCTCTGCATCAGCATTTTATTTTGCAAATTGTGTTCTCCACTGGATGCTAAATCTCTTTTAATTTTACCTTTTCAGCTTGCAGTATTTATAGACTATGCCCTCCGCAGGAAGTTTCTCCCTGGGAAAGTTTAGTATTAATCTAAGCTAAATGGACCCTCTTAGGGATTCGTTCATCTGTCTGATTTAGATATTTGCAGTAAAATACTCCTTAGAAATTCCTGTCGTCTGTATTTGGTCAAAGGACTCTCACCCTCTTTGTGTAGATGCTTTTAAAACAGGTATTTCTGATGAAGTGCTGTTAGGAAACAAGGTTCTAATGAAATAATATATTTTAAAGATTTAAAATTATTCTCTTAGTTATTTTACTTATTTTACGTATTCAAATACTTAACTGTTTTCAAATACTTTCAATATTAAGCGCTACATTTAAATTCAGGAGCACTTTGGGTATACTAGAACATCCATGAACTACATTATCACACTGGTAAGGTTTACAACCGTGTTTTATGGAAAAAACTGCTTAGAGAATCTTATTTTATGTTACAAAAAGTTTGCATCTTAAACTGGTTCACCTGTTCTGTTCCATAGTGACATCTTCTGGTGGGTCTGAGCATCCTTTTCCAAAATTCTTTCTCTTGGTTTGATGAGTCCTAAAACCTGAGATCTCAGGCTGTTACCCAGAAATGTGCCAGGACTCAATACAGATTCCACGTCAGTTTTTCTATCAGATTTTTCCTCCTCTTCTGTTCACATTGGGAGGATCGATTAGGATCTTTAATTAATTTCTAAATTGCTTAGTTTAGAGCGATAACCAGGCACTGTTCGTGACCAATTTTTTAAAGATCTAATTATTAACCTGTAAAATCATCTTTTAAGTCTATTGTATCACAATATTCTCCCTTTCTGGGGGAAAGGTTGGGGATTAGCTCTGACAAAATCATGTATTTGGAAGGTGGGTCTCTGTTTAGAAAAGCCAGGACTTAGGAACGCTGACTCTAATCCCCCATGTGTATGCATAAACTCCTAACCATTTCTGAAGAAAAGCTAATACATATTTTGTTTGTCTCCAGTCACTGCTGAGAGTGGAAGTTTCCTTTATAAGGAAGCATTGACTTGAGATTTTTCTTTTTACTTCACAGCATTTTCCATGGCTATTCACGTTGATGTTATCACTGAGATTAATTCCATATAATACAGTAAATTGAATAAATTTAAACTCTCGGGTAACTTAAGAGGAAGACCCAGAATATATTGAGGAAATAAAGGAGTAAAGGAATAGGAAGTGGATAGTAAATAAGTGATTGATTAAGTAGACGAGCTACATACATGGTTCTCTAAATGGGATAGAAATTTGGTTGTAATTTATATAAACAGATGGATGTTCATGCTCAACTTAATGTACAAGCAGTTGCCAACAATTACTGTACAGCACATGGTCTTTTTTCCTACATCTTGTCACAAGAAACAAGATGCTGTTACACTGCATTGAATTGCAATTTTTGGTGCAGGTAATTGGGCAGCTGCAGAAATACAAGGTCTAAAATGCATCTGGACTGAATTAATGTATGTGATATTGGCAGTGTGAGAAATGGCATCTTGCAACACCTTAACTCTGGGGTTTCTAGAGACTGCATTTTGAATGCATTGATTATGTTTTTATTTGTAGTTAATTGCTCTATAACTCACGCTTTATTTCCACATTAGATATTTGATGATTAAAAAAAATGTGCTGCTTTATGTTAAAAAATACTGTATGGTTTATTTCCTTCAGGGACACAATTAAGTCTTGAATGCAGTGCTTGCAGTTAGCGTACATTTTGTTACTGTCTTTGTCATTTGCAGCTGAGATCCTTCCAAACCAAAGATTTTTTTTGCACAATAATTTATTGTGGGTTAGAGAGTATTCATGGAAGGTTTGAAACACTTCTCTGTATTTTGAGACTGGAGAATATGTCACAGGATTCTGCTTCTGAAGGCGATCACAGAATCACAGAAGGTGTTGGGTTGGAAGGGACCTTTAAAGCTCATCCAGTCCAACCCCTGCAGTGAGCAGGGACATTGGGACCAGATCAGGTTGCTCACAGCCCCATCAAGCCTGACCTTGAATATCTCCAGGGATGGGGCCTGCACCACCTCTGGACAACCTGTGTCAGTGATCTACCACCTCATGGGGAAGAGCTTTTTCCTCATATCCAACCTAAATCTCCCCTTTTCTGGTTTAAAACCATCACCCCTCGTCCTGTCGCTGCATGCCCTAGTGAACAGCTCTTCCCCAGATTTCTTATAGGCACCTTTCAGGATCTGGAAGGTCGCTGTAAGGTCCTCCTGGAGCCTTCTCTTCTCCAGGCTGAACAACCCCAATGATTTCAGCCTGTGTTTGTAGCAGAGGTGATCCTCAAGTACATTCTATGGTGTCCATCAGAGTTCTTCTCAGTGAAATTTTTCCTAATATATTTTGTGTGTTATTGTTTCAGGTGAGCCTGATTTGGGTGACTGTTTTTTTGATAATCAAGTTTTCAGCAGGCAGTTGAATCTGATGTAATTCATCTCCCTGCTGAGGAGTGGCTGAGGGAGCTGGGGCTCTTTAGCTTGGAGAAGAGGAGACTGAGGGGTGCCCTCATTCATGGGGATCAATTTGGAAAGGGCGAGTGTCAGGAGGAAGGAGCCAGGCTCTGCTCTGTGATGTCCAATGCCAGGACAAGGGGCAATGGTCCCAAGCTGGAGCACAGGAGGTTCAAGCTGAACATGAGGAAAACCTTCTTTCCTGTGAGGGTGGCAGAGCATGGCCCAGGCTGCCCAGAGAGGTTGTGGAGTCTCCTTCTCTGCAGACATTCAAAACTCCTGGCCGTGTTCCTGTGTGACCTCCTCTGGGTGATCCTGCTCTGGCAGGGGTTGGACTCGGGGAGCTTTCAAGGTCCCTTCCAACTCCTGATATTCTGTGAATTCCCCTCAGTCATCCCAGTGCCCAAATTCTCATTGCAGTCGCTGGTCTTGTCTGTGGGATCCTCTCCCCTGACTGAACATTTGAAAAAGAGTAACTGTCTATATCATACATGCAGGTTAATAACATTGCTTTGTAGCAATTCTGGTGGATTGTCAAAAATTGTATATAACGTAAAATAAGCTCTGACTTTATTTGGATCTTGCAGGTGCGCAGATTTGCAGAGGCATTCTTTTGTCTTGAGCACCCTAGGCAAGCTGCCCTTGCCTATCAAGAACTACAGTGAGTAGCCTTTGGACATGCTCAGTATGTAGCAAGTACTACTCTTATTCCATACCTTGTCCTGTGTAGAAATACTGACTTGCCAAAACACTTACATCACAAGTTCAAGAGAAATTTAGGTGCTAAATATAGATTTGCACTTCTTTAGTGGAAGTTATGTGAAGCTGTTAAATAACTATTAAAGCTATTAAATAGCTAATTAGTAGAACAGCTTCTGCTAAATTGAATTCAACTGCTGCTAATTTCTGTTAATGTAAAAATAAAATAATGTAAAAATAAATAGTTGTGGCTTTTTCATGGGGGACTGCTTCCTTTTTTTCAGTGCTCAAAGCCATCTGCAGATGTGTGCAGCTATCAAAAACACCTCCTTCTGCAGTTCTCTTCCACCCCTCCCTATCGAGTGCAGTGAACTTGATGGAGATACAAACTCCTTGCCTATAATCTTTGAAGACCGATACTTGGATTCAATTACTGAAGGTAAGCACACCTCACGGTGCAGTTTTCCTTTTGAAGAAATAAGCAAAAATGATGTAAAACCTGAGTATTTTTCTTTACATTTCTTACTGGCTTTAAAGGATGTCATGGTTTAGGGCTAGGTTGACCACTAAATCCTGGACAGATGCTCTCTGTTAACCCCTCTCCCCTCCCCAGAAGGGAAGAGAAAAGAGAACAAGGGAGAGAGACTTTATGGGTTGGAAAAGAAAACTAACAGGTTTAATGAAACAGTAATACTAATGCTACAGGATAATAATGTAAGTAGGAAAATAATGGAATATATACAAATATGTACAAATATATCTACAAAACCAATATAAAATCCTCCCCCAATGACGATGACATCACCAGAGGCTCTGCAGAGCAGGCACTGGAAAAGTCCCAGTCTGGACCCAGCAGCAGTGGGAGCTGATGCAGGAACACAGGGATCAGGATCAGAGGCAGACGAACCAGCAGGGTCTGCTCAGACTTTGGCCATTGAAGGGGTTGAGATGTAAGGAAGGGTCCAAGATGGAAGGGTCAAGACCCTCATGATCCCTCGGCTTTATACTGAGTATGACGTGTGTAGGATGCAACACCTCGTTGGTCAGGTTTGGGTCCACTCCTCCCTGTAGGTGCAGATATGGCACCCACATTGAGACAGTGGCCTTGTGATGATCACTTGTAGCAGTACACACTGTCTGGAAAACCATGCTGCTGGTTTCAGCAAGTTCAGCCACTTAGAAGAGACTGAGCTGAAAAATAAAATCACTGAATAGAAAATTAGTTCTGTTTAGTTCAAACCAGGACAAAGGAGTACGTTTATTTCCTGGGAAATGTTTCCTTAGTTTGAGTTTTGAGGATGTGTAAAGTTCTGTAATTACTAGTGGTTTATAGCATCAGTTACTTGCATAATCTTGTGGTAAACAGTCTTTTTTTCTTACTTTCTTTTCCCCTCCCTTTTTTCGATGAAAGATCTGGATGTGCCCTGGTTGGTAGTTCAGAGTCTTCCAAGGTCAGAGTCCAATAAACTGGATAAATTTGAAGCTGAAGAAGGTTTTGTAGCTGGTTTTACTAGCCCGGATCTGAAAACAAGACCTGCAGGTGCCTCCAACCTTTGGCATTCAGAAAGCGAAAAGACGCTAACAAAAACTTTGAAAGGGAAAAATGAAGATGCAAATAAATCCAAAGTTAAGGTTACCAAGCTCATGAAAACAATGAAACCTGAGAACACAAAAAAAGTTGTGAAACAGAACTCTAAGGACTCTGTGGTCTTAGTAGGCTACAAATGTTTGAAAAGTGCAGCACTGGAAGATGCTTCTAGAAGCTCCGAAGGCAGGCCTTCATGCAACGCTCACGAAGGGCTGGACCCTACTTTAGGTGGCTTTTCTTGCGATACAAAGACCTGCACCAGGCAAATAAGTCAAAGAGAACTTGAATTTTTGCCATCTGGAACTGAGGAAAAGGCTGCCAGGATTGAAAGTGTCCAACCGGGTGCGGGTAGCCCCGTGCACTGCGAAAACGTGGCTGGTTTTGGTAGACTTGCTATTTCCCAGACAGGTTCTGGGGCTGCACAAGCAGGTAGTGCTCTACCACCCAGGGGTACACTTGAGGGTTGTCATGAAGGTCAACCAGGTTCCTCAGCAGTCAGGGCAATTGAGATCAAACCAAGTACTAAGCACCCCTACGAAGGGGAGAAGGTAACTTTTCACATTGGGTCGTGGGCTGAGTTTCCGCAAGATGGGGTGCAAGGAGAGAATTTGCAGACTCCCAATATTCGGTCTTCAGAATCTGGAAATAAATTGAATTTGGGAGAACAGGAACCACCAGTGCTTGAAAAGGAAGATGTCCACGAAAGAAACTGCAGACATAGCAGTGACATCTTGACAAAAATGAAAAGTCATCAGCCTGCTCTTTCTACAAAAGAAAGTCCACTTCCTGCAGGAGCAGACACAAGTAAGTTACCAGACGTTAGTGTGACGTGCGCCTCCTCTAGGTTCTCAGATTCAGGTGTAGAAAGTGAACCAAGTTCCTTTGCAACTCACCCCAACCCCGATCAGGTTTTTGAAAGCGTTCAAGGGCAAAGTGCGTGCAATGGGGACAGAGCATTTCCCCAGCTCCTACTAAAACCGGACTGTGCCCTAAAAAACGCTGTAGAAAGCCACTGCACTGAGAGTACCAGCGCTGTGAGTGAGATCCAGTCATCCCTGACGTCCATCAACTCCCTGCCTTCAGATGACGATGAGCTGTCACCCGATGAGAATTCAAAGATATCTGTTGTACCTGAGTGCCAGTTAAGTGACAGTAAAACCGTGTTGGATCTTGGAGCGATCGACTTGCCAAAATGTGACGACGGTCAAAAGTCGAGCACCCATTTGCAGCAACAGTGTGGTGCATTTTCAGGGCAGTCAGATAACAAAACTCTGTCTGTGCATTCCTCGCCCTCAGGAACAAAAGATCTGTTACACTCGGTTGTTTCCGATGAGGGCACATCTACCGATGTGAAAAGTTACAGCCCACAGGCAGACCTTAGCACAACCCACAAGGACTCTCAGGACCTCGAAAGGCATCTTGACACTACAGAAGAAACAGCTAAATTGCATTTGGGAATTGCTTGTGTGGGTGCGCCGCCTGCGGTTTCAGGTTCTTCGTCTGTAAATGCGGTGTACGAGGTTGAGAAAGCACATGAAGGAAAACATAAGGAGCCCTTAGAACTAAAGGAGGCAACTGAGGAACTGTCAGGAGCTCAAACTGAACCTGGTCCAGATAACCCTTCTCCAACCAGTAGTACTGACATGGTAAAGCAGGGGCTGGTCGAAAACTATTTTGGCTCTCGAAGCAGCACGGATATTTCCGATATTTGGCCTATGGACAACAGCAATCCTGTTAGCCCTCAAAAGGAACCGTATGAAAAACAAATCAGTTGCTCTTCCCAACAAGAGGAGGAAGAAGAGGAGGATCAAGAAATGATTGAAAACGGGTATTACGAGGAAACAGACTATAGTATATTAGATGGGGCTTCCAGTGCTGACCAGGATCCTGGCCCAGCAGAAGAGAGAGCCCTGAGAGCTGACGGGGGGCATCTGCGTGAGGGAATGGCTGTGCCTCCTGTCTGCGCTCCTGGCTGTCTCTCTTTTCCTTCCTCTCTGAGGGACTCTCCTTGCAATGTTATCTGTTCTTCGAGGAATAAATCGGATGCAATCACACAGCAGCCGGGCAGCGCAGCCTACAGCTCGGCTTCGTCTGCTTCCTGGTATGAAAGCTCCCCCAAACCTCAAATGTTAGCGTAAGTGACTATTTTCAAACAAAGTTCTTTACTTTAAAATGATGTTAATATGGTATAGAAGGGGAAAAGAAGTGTGGTCAGGCTCCAGAGTTTCTCATACTCAAGTAACATTACATTTTAGATGTTAAGATAGACACTGTGTTAGCACTGAATTCCTGCTATTGGTCACTTTGTAATTTGACGTGATTTGTCAAACTTCAAGCAAAACACTATTTTTTTTGGTTTCTCTTAATATATTCCTTTTTAAAAAAATGATAATTTGGTTGAAAAGCGATGTCGTAATGGCTACTGAATGTAAAAATGGCGTGTTATGAAATGGAAGCTGTTCAAATAACCAGCAGAGGTAAATATGCTTTGAGTTTACAAACATGCTGTAACTGGTTGTCCATCTAATTAGTTAAATGAAGCAAATGTGCAGTGCTAGCCAAGGTAAATTAATGGCATTATTTTTCAATCTTAACTTCAGATATCCAGAATGTACACTTCAGAGACTGTAGTGCATTAAATTGCCCTGCAACTTGGACACCAGATAAGCCAAATTTAGAGGAATATCAGGGATCCCAGATTGCACCTCGTCATGCTGTGAACATAGGAATTGCCCTGATAACCCCCTGCTGCTAAACTGAACATGGGAAGCAGTTTGATGTGCTGTATTGCAAGTAAAATGTTGCTATCAGGAAGAAGAAAGCTTTGAAGAGAGGTGGAAACAAGGAGGATGCTGAGAACAGGAGGAAGGATTGAGTAGTGGTGGAGGAAACCAGTTTAGAAGTGGGCAGAAAAGTCACTTTTAATACTGGAGAGTGGGTACTGGTGTGGAATGGGAGGGCTGGAAAGCAGAGCCTATTTCGGGCGTTGTGTAACAATAAAAGAAAGAGGAGACTTGGAGTAAAGTCAGGGACGTGGCCTTGGGGAAGGCAAAATCTCTTGGAGTGTGGGGTTTTCGAGGGGATGATGTGCTCCACAGGGAACCAGCCTCGATACCTTAAGGTCAGAAATGATGCCTTGAATGCAGAGTAACTGCTGCTGCGGAGTGATAAGACCAGCTGCTGCAGTGGTTTCTGTTCGTTGAGGTCTGCTCTTGACAGTGAGTGAGGAATGAGCTGAGATAAAGCTGGGAATACAGAGAATAAATGGGAGGAAAACAGTGAGGAGGCGGAAGAGGAGGGGATACAGCATCACACCGTGAGGGATCACGCAGGATGGACAGGTTGAGGAGGGAAGGGAGTGTAAGGAAGCATAAAGCTTCAAGTGCTGTATGGAAACTGAGACACAATTCACAAGGTAGGAAGGTGATACACAAATAAAAAACCTCAGAGAAGAAAGGGAACCACAAGGAACTCCTGACATGTAGGGAGCTCAGCGATTGAAACTATATAGTGAGCAACTGCAGCACTGACTGCAGCTCTCTGCTGATATAGGACATACAGGTTTTTTATTTGGCAAGAAGTATCACAAGTCAGTGGAAATCTTTACCTTGGCTTCTGCTTGGTTGTAATTCCTGTAATTTTGTTACTGCATTTAAATAAACCCGTTGCTTGCTCAGGACCAGAGCTAACCCAGAATCTTCAGTGGTTTCAGAAATACGTCAGTTTGCAGAGATGTTTGTTTGAAGGGATGTTGAAGGTTGGGGTAAGGATTTTGTGATAGAGGAAAAGGGGCTGTAGGGAGCTGCAGTAAAAGATATTTTGAGGACCTGGATTGTTTTGTGAAGACAGTAATTTGATAAATGTGTTTTCTTTTGTATCAATTGCATAGAAGACCAAGTTAAAGGAAAACTGGATGCTAGGAGACCCTATGTTTGTCTGTCATTTTATCATAAATTATGGTTTTGTTCCAGTTTCCTACAGGCTAAAGAAGAGCTGAAGCAACTAAAACTTCCTGGATTTATGTATAGTGATGTTTTCAAACTGGCTTCTTCAATACCTTATTTCAGTATGGAAGAGGACGACTGTTCAGAGGAAGGAATACATCTTATAGTCTGTGTCCATGGCCTAGATGGTACGCTGGGAAATGGGATACTGAGCGAGATAGCGATTCAGATTACTGCTTAGGTTCAGCTTTTGTCATTTGAACTCTGAACTGAATGCTTCTGAAATAGGTTCACTGGAGGGTGATGAGGATCTGACATTGTACTGCTGCGTTTATAGACTAGAATCACAGAATCACAGACTGTGTTGGGTTGGAAGGGACCTTTAAAGCTGATCCAGTCCAACCCCTGCAGTGAGCAGGGACATTGGTACCACATCAGGTTGCTCACAGCCCCATCAAGCCTGACCTTGAATATCTCCAGGGATGGGGCCTGCACCTCCTCTCTGGACAACCTGTGTCAGTGATCTACCACCCTCATGGGGAAGAGCTTTTTCCTCATATCCAACCTAAATCTCCCCTTTTCCAGTTTAAAACCATTACCCCTTGTCCTATCACTACATGCCCTAGTGAACAGCTCTTCCCCAGATTTCTTATAGGCACCTTTCAGGAACTGGAAGGTCACTATAAGGTCCCCCCAGAGCCTTCTCTTCTCCAGGCTGAACAGCCCCAACTCTCTCACTTGGTCCTCGCAAGGGAGGTGCTCCAGCCCCTGATCGTCTTTGTGGCCTCCTCTGGACCCGCTCCAGCACTTCAATGTCCTTTTTGTGTTGGGGACTCCAAAGCTGGACACAGCACTGCAGGTGGGGTCTGAGCAGAGCAGAGCAGAGGGGCAGAATCCCCTCCCTGGCCCTGCTGGCCACACTTCTTGTGATGCAGCCCAGGATGGGGCTGGTTTCTGGGCTGCAGATGCACATTGGTGGCTCATGTCCAGCTTCCATAAAATCATTTACATTAAGAATTTTATGTCACATTTAGTAAAACTTTCATGCAGAAAACCCATTTTATGCCATAGTTCACATTAGATACATCTTCCAGTTGTTTATGTCTCGTAGGTGTTTGTATGGTGGTAATAGAATGGAGTTACTGACAAAACCGTTTTGTTTAGAATTTATAATGTTACATTGTCAAGGAAAATAACGTGTGTATCTTGGTAGGAAAAAAAATTAGTAATTGTAAAATGCAGTCCAGTGTCTATAAGATTTTAAAAGATTTATATTACTGAATATTTTGAATATTTCCAAGGATGGAGGCTCTGCTGTACTAGAAATGAGAAAATCTCTTGCCAATTGAAAGAAGGTTTGGAAAGCTGATATAGTTTCAATAGATTCACCTGCTTTCAGTTCAAAGCATATGAACATGCTAAGAAATAATACCCCCTCTAGTTGAGTTATTCATAGCTTTCTACCATTAACAATTCTGTCTTCTTTTTTGAGAAGCTTCTTAAATTACCAATGTCAGGAAACACATCCTTTGAGTGCTTTTAAAAGTGAACTCAGAAATGTTCCTTCTCACTAGCATAGATGTTCAAGTGCTATTGCGTGCCTACAATTGACACAAATTTAACTTGCCCAGAATACCTGTTATTAAAAAAGCATCTTTGATGCCTTAGAAAAATCCATAGAGTTAGAGTTTTCTTATGAAATGGTGAGTTCATACAAGTTCTTTACTGTTACTGTAATGATGATTGATGGGGAGAAATCTTCAGGGTGTGACTTAATGTAGCATTTGCTGTCCTGGGTACCAGTGTAAATGTATCTTTATCTGCTGACAGTCCAGCCTTTTTAGTCTATGAAAATGTTTACGACTTGCCTTTATTCCTTGCTCTGTTCTTTAATTGACTTTATCAAAGTTAATTGGGTTTTCAAGAAGGTGATGTTCACAATGCTGTGTATCTGTAGGATGCTAAGACAAAACCAAAGACGATTTCCTAAGTCCTTAACCAAGCGATCAGGCCCAGTCAGCATGGGC